CGTTTCGAGTTACGTCGTTCCCGATTATACGTCGCTTGTTAAAAAAGTATATGGAAAAATAAAAATCAAGTTTAAGTCATTTTATTCGACTTTACGTCTGTCCGCCACAAATATTGAAGTCGTAATATCACTAGATAAACGTTTAAAGCACATAAAATCATATTAAAATATATACAAGTATGTACTGTATTTACAGTACATGCATTCGTGTAGATTACTTTTTTTCTGTACTATATTAAAAAACTAAAATTTATTTGTTTGTAAGCTTAAAATAGATTGTTATTAACCATATATTATTAAAAATACATTAATAGATAAAATACAGAACCGGGAATGGTAATTTACGGTTTAGCCTAGTGATAAGTAGATTCGGAGACAAGTAAATTCGACTTACGTCGTTCTCCTGGAACCAATTACCGACGTAAGGCGAGGTATACCTGTAGTTGACTTTCTGAAAGTCATTAATATGTATAGAGAAATTTGATTATTTATTTATTGTACAGTTTTATTTACTTTGTGTTACCTATTTAAATTATTGTATATATTTTTTGTTGTTGTTTATTTATTTATTTATATTACCATTGGCTGTTTAATGGTTAAACTGTTATGTTTTGTTTATTTGTTTTTGTTTTTATGTTTATATATGTCTTTTTATTTATTATATATCTGAAATTGTACCATGTGTTATGGCGCAGTATGGCCTATATGGCTCTTGTGCCAATAAAAACTAACTAACTAACTAACGAATTTAATTTCCTCAGTATTAAATTGATAAAATTGCATAAATGAGGATTTGTACAATATAAAAATACATGAAAATCCATTCGCTTTAAATGCATAATAACCAACTTCAACGGTTTTTCAATCTATGTCAAGTACAATTCCTGTTCTAAAACTTTCTAGCCTGACAAGTGAGTCTTACAGAAATCATTCTATTAGCATGCTCCTTTAAACTCTACTGTGTTTTAAAGGCTGTATGGATGGTAAGGAAGGTGAACATGTTGAGATTTGCACTGATCTTCTGGAAACTGCCTGTAATGACCGTATAATATTCTGCCACATCATTGCAGCAGAGGAGTCCTGTTACTACTAGTACAGTGATATTTGTAGCACTAAGTCACAAATCCAATAACAAAGTGCTGAGTGGAGATGCCACGAATCTTCAACATTGAAGACAACCCTTGGCAGCCATTAAAGACAAAGATTATGCTGATTGCATGTTTTTGATGTGAGGATATTGTGCTTAAGGAATTCATTTTCTAGGCAGGACTTTTAACCAACACATATACACTGATGTTCTTACAGCAATCACCCTAAACTTTATTAGTCCCGTCAGTGGTACTTTCTTAATGATAATACTACACCTTATATCACCTTATTTCTGCAGCAGTACTTGGCTGTAAAACAGGTTACAGTGCTTCCTCACTCCCTACTCTCCTGACCTGTCCCCATCTGAACAGTCCTTCAAAGGCAGATATTTCAACAATATAGATGATATCCAGTAGCTGTGTACATGAATGCAACTTAACTCCATTATAGAAGAGGAGTTATATTTTTTTAGACAAAGCAGTTGTTTTGAAGATCTTCAACTTGTTATGCAAGGAGACTACAGTAGAGCCTCGATTATCCGACCCCCGATTAATTGACTGTCCTAGTCGGCAAATTCAAATGTCCGCTAGTGATGTGGCGCTACAATATTTGGCTATGTCTTGGCTACTTTAATATTATTTTTATGTCTTTTAGCTGGCAACACTCATTCGACCATGAAAGGGAGCCAGTATTTAAACGAGGCTTAATTTTCTAATTTTTAACGATACAATAGCGACGATTATTATTTTAAAAAATTTTTGTTAAGCTTAACATTGATGAAAATTCAACGCGAAGTAGGTTAATAGCGATATACTAATTACATGGGATATAATAATATACTACACTAATAATGGATTTTTTCATACTTTTCGGTTATCCGACCAACCCCAGTCCCCAATTGGGTCGGATAATCGAGGCTTTACTGTATTTTGAAGGTATAACCTAGTAGCTTTCATTTTGTTTATTTCTGAAATTAAGGCTCAGTTCATTAACTTTTGGGATAATAAAACTAATGTATTGACTTCAGTAAGGTAAAGTTAATAAAAATCAGTCAAAATTAAAGTAGATAACTTAGGGCATATGTCTAGATGATTAAAATATTTTAGTAAAAACATACACATTTGGCATTAGTAGAGATAAAGAGAACTATTGCTTATATTCCACATGATGTGAAATTTGCTCTGAATTGAGACATTCCGTTAACACTAGAACCACGAGACTATCTGTATACTTAGAACTGCTGAAAGCAGTGAAAATGATTGCCTTTCCAAAGAATATTTTTATGTTTTGAAATTGATTTTATATCATATTCATATCAAATAATAATGTTCTAGAACATTGTATAAATTCAAGGGACAGTTTTATAGTTCAAGAGGGTTGCCCCTCCAATTGGGGAACTACATATACTTTGTAAAATAAAAATTAGGCAGTGCAAACTACTCTGAAGGAATTTCCTTGTTGCTGCCTACCACAAATAGTACTTTTGCATAAATAACATCATTCTTTTTGCACGAAAAAAAGTGAGTAATGATACATATAATATTATTCCATAGATTGCTATGTAAAATTATTCTGTAGTGAAATATTCATGTATATCATATCAGTATATCATATTATATCAGTATATCATGTATATCATATCAGTAAGAATCAGCATACTCAAAAATTTTACTAAATTATATATTATATCTCTTTGTAGAGAGGCTAATGATGGTTCATTCATGAGAGGTTGATTAGGCTGCTCTTCATCACTGTCCTATTTAGCATCAGTTTTATTGGATGGGATGTATTTATCATCATCATCCTATAGATTATGAATGTCATTCATATCCTCATTTTCTGATTCACTTTCCAAAATATTTGCTAATATAATGTGTTTTCATCAAATACAGGTTTCCCATCTTATAATGTTTAATTTTTTGACAATTTTCAATTCCTGCAAAAATTTTAAGTGATAAATCTATATAGCATATGTGGTGTAATGAGATAAAAGAAAAATACATCATCACAATTTTATTTCAATAATAATGATTGCCAGGCAAAAGCATAATCGATTATAATTTAATTTGAACATTTTTGAAAAGTAGTTAGAGAATAAGTGCAGTATATCAGCCAATCAATTTAAAATTAAAACATCTGGGGTCTTAAAGTATCCTCACACCAATGTTGTATTAAGGAAATATATTACTTGTCTGAGATAAAAACCACATTTATAAAGTTTCTGTATACTATAGACATTAACATTTTCTTTGCATCTGAATGATCAGAATATATTGATTCCAAATTAACCTTCTTGTTTAAGCAGTTTATTATTCATATAATTGTGAGATTTTTCGTGCAGGAAATATTGAGTTATTTTGTTTCTTCTATTTTAACCATTTGAAAGCATATTGAATAAAGAATAATTTGTATTAAACTATCTGATTACTGTTCCTTGAATTTGGTTAGTGTTAGATACAATGATTCTTTATCTTAATTCTCTATATTCTATCTGGATGGAATGTGGATAATTCTTTGGCCTTTGTTTCAATAGTCTCTCTTTAAAAGATTTTGAGTTTGGACTTGTTTTGTGAGCAAAGATTTGGTGCTTTGTAGTTGATGTTAGAGATTGCATGACAACATACCATTTCATACAACACTGTAATCATGAAGCAAATTTTTGGTAAAAAGAAATGTTCATCTATAGTTAGTTGCCATATAATAAGCAAAATTATCATTGTATTGAATTGGGCTATTATTAAATTAAATTCTAAGTAATTTGGTTTGGTACTAGAGGTGTTAGGTTCCATCTCTTATTAGAGTCTAATTTCCAGGAAATTATCCATTCCAGTGCTTCTGTTATACTGGTGGATATCCAACAAGTCTTCACCAAAGGATTGCCGAGGGCAGTCTTGAACTGTATGCTTAATGATTTGAATCCAACTGCAGTTGCAGCATGTATCTCTGGACATATTCTGTTTATCGAGAAGGTAGTTGCATCTACTGACTGAGGTCTGGAGGTCCTTCCTAAAGTCCTAAGCTGCCTCATTGTGGTGGGGAGGTGACCCTGGGTGGGTTGGATGATGTATGTCAGGAATATATTTTATATTCCTGGTAGGGACTCCCAAGACATGAAGGACTTCCCAGTGTGACCAGATAAAACATGCTAGCAGGCAAATAGCATGTTTCCCTATGTTAAGGGCAGCTATCAGGGCGGCTCCATATTAGGAGTCGTGGAAAGTGGGTCACTCCTAATATGGGCATCTTTGACTGACTAATATCATCACATGGTTGACAAATATCTTCGGATATCCTGGCTTGTATAGCATTCTAATTCTACATACAAATAAAAATCTTGTAGTATTCCTTGTCTGCCAATGTGGATCATATTTCCTGTGATTGTGAGAAGGACAACGAATACTACAAGAATAATTTTTTTGTTATAAGTCTTTGTTATTTGTATTTTTTATAACATGTTTTAAGAGAGAATTTTTATTACAGGATTGATTGTTTATAAAATTTTTTAAATAATTATTTTAAAAATTAATTTTCAAAATGTGATTTCTGTTAAAATAATAATTTTTTTTTTTTTTTACTTTTAGGAAACTTAAATTTTATTTGGATGTTATAAACCTGGCTACATAGAAGTTAAATTATGAGTACATCAGGAGTAAGAAGCTGGAGTTGTATTTGTGGATTTGTGGATACATTTGAGTCTGTTCAAATACATTTTCTCACTGTGCATAGAAAATTTTCTGAAGACTTTTCTTCTATGTGTAGTATTTGTAACATTCAGTTTTCAGATCCCAGCATATTAAAACAACATAGTGTACTTCATATTCGACAATTTACAAAATCACTTTTGGACACTTCCTTGGAAACAAAAGTTCAGAATAGTAAATCAGACAGTAAATCTACATATTCAGAAAATCCACCTTTTAAACAAGAATTTCCTTGTTACAGTTCTTCTTTACCTTTAAAAAAAGTGAATGGTATAACTAATAACATAAGTAATAACAGCACTGAATCATCATCATGTTGTTTTAATAATGTTTCTTCTACACCAAATAATAGGACTAATAATTTTCAAATTGTTCCTCCTTTGTCGTTAAATGTAACTCAGCCATCAACAGTAAATTGCATGACTTCTTTAGTTAACACTGTTTCAGCTGTTAATAATTCATTTCAAGGTATTAAAGGTTCTGGAATTTTAAATGCTAATAATAATTTTTACTACATGAATATGCCAAAAAACCAGTTGCAACAAGGACAACAGCTAAATGTCTGTAACAGTATTGTAATGCCCGTTCTCTCTTTAATGCCAGCACAACAGATTTTACAGTCAAGACTATCTGATGTTAATCAGGTAAGGAATACAGTTAAAAACGCACAAGCACCAAATGTTTCTCAAGCTTCAAGTAGTCAGAATAAAACACCTCCTACTACTAAGCAGCAAACTGAATTAAATAACCATACGCGTGAAGTATCAACTGAAAGCAAAAATGCTGCAAATAATAGTGTTGAAAAGAAAACATATGATCAAGCAACTTTACGACAAATTTTTCAAAGGTCTTGCAACATGTCTAATGATTATAATCAAATATGGTCTATGGCAAAAACACCAAAATGCAAGAAAAAAATGCTCGAAAAACAAAATTTAATGCGTTTTTATAAGTGCATGGTAAAAGATTGTTCTTTTGCTTCCAATAGCAATACTAATTTTATCTTTCATCTTAGTAAACATAGTAACATTGCATATTTTAAATGTGTTTATTGTTTAAGAGAATTTTCGGCTGGTATTACTTTAGTCAACCATATGACGCAAGAACACGGGAAAAGGATTTATCAGTGTAGTCAGTGTTTCTACCGTGCTTCAAGGAAACTATATGTTCAGATTCATCAACAGATACATCATGGAAAGCACTCACTTGAAGTTATCATTTGTAAACCTGTAGAATTACTTCAATCAAAAAATGAATGTATAGATTCTGATTATTCCACGTATGCAAAACCTTTCCATTGTTCGATTGGAAGTTGTTACTTCGTTACTTACGACTCTTTAGATTTTAAAAAACACAATGAATTAAATCATAAGTTTGTTGATATGTATCCGTGTTCATATTGCAAATCAAGTTGTTTTTCTATTAGTAGTCTTATTAAACATCACCATTTACATGGAATAAATAATTATCAGTGTACATATTGTTTATTTGGGTCCAGCACAAAAATTGAAATGTTATTTCATTTAAGCTTGCATCATGCTGACATGCCTGTAAATGTGTATGTGCGATCATCGTATGAATATATTGAAGGTGTGCAGATTAACCAGAGGCTTTCTGAAAAAGAAATAGTAAGGAAAAACGACGATGAGAGAAACACAAAAACTACAGATAACAAAAGGAATAAAAGTAGGACGAAACAGTGTGAAAAATTAGAATCAGATGAGATTTCAAAGGTTAATAAGGGTTTAAGAAGATCAAGTTCCAATTCAAGCAACAGTAGTTTAGAAAATGCTTTAAAAGTTGTAGATTTTCAGAATAATATGGAAAGGAACAAAAAAGTAAATTCAAAAATAAATTCTCAGAGTTCCAGTGTATCTGAGAATGATGATCATTTTGTCTCTTGCTCAACAGATCAAGCTGATACTAAAAGTAAAGATGTAAATGATAGTAAGGAGAAAACACCAGTAAATTCCATGCCATCTTTAAAAAAAAAAAATAATACTTCTAATTCTGCCTTATTACAAAAGAGTAAATTACGCTTCTCTTTGAAAAAAACTAATAATAATAATAATAATAATACTCGTATTTCTTGTGAATTGAATTCTAATTGTTCTCGCTGTAATAATTGTAATTATGAATGCAGTATTTGTTTACTGCATTTCAAACTCTTTAAAGATGCTAAAAAACATCTTAAAGATGTTCATTGTTTATGGAGTTCAGTCAGATGTGCCTACTGTTCAAGAATGGGATTCCAGAAAGGGTTCTTGCGACGACACATCATTACAAAACATCCTCATAAAGACATGAAAATAATTTCATATATTAAGAAGATTCTTCCAAAATCAACATCTTCTAGAATGCAACATCCATACAATTGTTATTTCTGTTCATATGGAACAGCAAATAGATGCCAAATAATAAAACATATGTATGCAGAATTAGATTATAAGAAATATAAATGTGGAATTTGTAAACTTCAGCTCGACAAGAGAGCTTTACCCAATCATTTTTCTTACGTACATCCAAATCGAGTCATTGACATTATAAAAAATACAAATCCACATATAAGGAAGTGGCTTAAGAATTTTCTCCAAAATTCCTCTAATTGTTTAGAAGATGATGGCAATTTGAATCCAAGACAACCATCTGAGTTTAATTGTCCATTTTGCCAAAAGCAAATGAAATCACAGAAATGTTTTCAGCAACATCTTTATAGACATAAACAGTACAAACCATTTAAGTGTGGTCACTGCAGTAAGAAATTTCTTAAAATAAGCCATTTTAAAATTCATAAGAAAAATGTAAGGAGTCAAATGGTTCAAAAGAAAGCAATAAAATTGTTTAAAACAAAAATATGGCACATAGAAAATTGGGCTAAAGAGATTATACAGAATGAACAACACACACAAAACAGTCAGGATCTTTCTTCTGTAACTTCAAAATTGGATATTCATTATGTTGGTGTATATGGTTGTTTTTATTGTAATTTTTGTGCAAATTTCAGATATTTAGTTGAAAGACATTGCCGAATAAAACATTATAAGAAACCTGTACGTTTTCTCAAGAATAACATGTTCTGCAAGGAAACTACTGTACAGATTAAGAATCGTTCTGCTATTAGAAAGAAATGTGCATCTGTTAAGAAGCGAAAAAGAAGAATGTCTTCTAAAAGCACTTCTGAAAAAACAGTTTCTGGGACACTCAGTAATGACGACTTAGATCAGTCTTCTTTTAGTGATAACAAACAGGAAAAGGCAGATGTTTTAGGAAAGGATCACCTGTCATCCAGTGACAAAAACTGCAGTTTAGTTAAAGCCACAACTTCCAATGAAAATAACATTGGATTCTGTATATTCAACTGTGCTTTTTGTCCAGAAAAATTTATTTCATTAAAAACATTAAAAAATCATTGGCAGGAGAAACATAAAACTTCTGATGACGATCATTTATTATTCAAAGTAACAAACAAAAAAGTGAAGTCGCTTTTCCATGTGTACAGATGTATGTATTGCAATGTGCAGTGTACAATAATGAGAAATTTAAAATCTCATATTGAGAATGAACATAAGGAAAAAGTATTCATGATGAAAATTACTAGAAATAAAACTGCAAGTGGTCCAACTGAAAGTTATTTACAATATTATTGTAATCATTGCCCAATGATATTCATTGAAGAATCAAAATTGCGTGCACACGAACTTGAAGTGCATAAAATTAGTTCGTCTACCGATTCTGAAAGCCAGGAAACAAAGTCAGTTTCAGGCTCGTCTGAAGAAGTAGTAGTTGAAAATAACTCTTCTAAATCTGGTCACAACAAAAAAGAATTAATGGTAAATGTAAAATTTGGAGAATATTCCAAAGAAATTAAGTTACCTTTATCATATTATTCAAAAATGTATAAGATATATCCAAAGGTAGTGCTTGAAAAATTATTTTCTTGATATAACTTTTCATTTGTTCGATAATTTGTTTCTTTAAGTTTCAATATTAAGCTTAGAATTTTGTGTGAAAATAAAATTATATATTTTTTTGTATGCATCTTGAATGTTTTAACTGTATGTACGAAGTTTATATTTTTGTCATATACGAAATATTTTAAAAAATTGACATTTTCTTAATAAAAAGCCAAATAAATGTTGAAAATTTCAACTATTTTATTGTAAGAAAATTTTAGTTTGTAGCTTTCTAATTTTTAAATAAACTCAGACCTTTTTTTTTTAAAATAAAATAATAATATTTTATTATATTTTTAAAGTGATAAAATTATTTTTATAGACAACAGAAGAATCATTATAAAATTAATATAAATTTATTCACGAATATTCTTGAAATGTTTTCTAGAAAAGTTCAAGAATATTTTTAGAAGTTCTTGAACCCAATACTAAAATATTAATATATCATTTAATTAAATTATGAATTGACTTAAATTCAGTTTTCTTTAAACAAATGGATTTTGCATGTAATAGTTTCCTGTTTAATTTTAATTATGCTGACTTTTTTCAATAAATTAAGTATAGATTATCCCAGTTTTATTTGTTCGTGTGTACAAATTATATTACATTAATAATATACAGAACAGAATGAATGGAGTGAAGTCTAATGAGCTTCTTACAAAGGGTAGAAAAAACAAGGAGAGAATAGTGAAAAAAAGGCCATGTGAATGTATGAGAAAAATGAAGACGAGAGAAAAATCAAAAGACGTAGAGCAAAGAGGCCTTGAAAGGGAGGATATAGCAGTTTTAATTAATAAACATTCATTCAACAGGAGGGTGGAACGGGAAGAGGAAGTTCTTTCTTTATCCCACGTAAAAACATTCTTATCTGTTGACACGTGCATACTAATACAACAGGAAGTTTTAAGCAGATTTTGAAAATTTGATTCATATTTAAATGGAGACTAACATGTATTATATTATATTAAAAGTTCTATAATGGAGTTTGAGTTTCATATGGCATAAAAATAAATTTTATCACATTTTTTATACAGAGTGCGGCAGATTAACCTAAACAGTTGGCTGAAACCGCGGAGGAGTGATCTGTAACTCGAGTCATTTATTCATACAGCCAGAGCTGGAAGAGTCTGCGTTAGATAAAAGATAGAAGTTGACACACATCAATAAGTAAAACAATGAAATTATTATATAGATAGTATTAATTAAATTAAATTAAAACGTTTTAAAAATTAAAAAAAAAACATGACAGCTAAAGGAGATCATGTATCAACTTTCACGTGACCTCTTGCATCCATCTACGTCGATTCTTCCAACTCACTGCTCGGGCTGTAGTTGAAATCTGCGTAAAATTATATATATATAAATGAGGATGTTTGTTCGCTGTACACTCCTAGGCCGTTCGAGCAATTGCTACGAAACTCGGCAGTTACGTTCAAATACTCCTAATTTAAATCATGTCGTACATCCCACCCCAAAATATCGATTACATTTCTATAAAATGAATTTTTATTTACATTTTATTTTCTGGGTTACACGTGGCGCCATCTACTGGCAAAAAATTAACAAAACTAATTATTATATAAAAAGGATCTGGTTATAAAATATCGAGATTTGCAAAAACTCGGAGCGTCAAATTTGATACGATTCAAACAATTTTCAAAAAATTGTAAAATAGTCGTCAGTTTTGATGAAACAATCGAAATATGTATTTAGCAAAATACTTTTGGGATGGCCACGTGCCAGCTTGCGTCCCGAACCCGTTAACGTCAACCCCTTTTTACCGAAAATAGAATTTAAGAAATAAATTATATATCTTACCCAATGTGTCATAAACTTGTCCCCGGGTCCCACACCAGATACTTACAATGAAGGCGTGCTCCAGGACACAAGAATATCCTTCCTAAGTGTAGCAACGACGACTCGAAAGTATTGTTACAATACCTGAAATTGTCTTCATTGTTGTTGATAACAGTGGCGTGCCGTGACATTTGATGATAGGGAAGCTGTGTTTCTGTAAAAAGCCGACTTCCAGGGGCAATCAGTCAGCGATGGTCTAGGGTCCATTCGTATTCGTTTGTTCGATAAGCCAGTAAAAACCGTACACTTCTCTAAATTCATTTTTAATTAATAGATTATATAACGCACTTTATAAATGAGCAAGTTCAATATAATTAACTCTGTTATATTAGATTTAATAGATTCTCTACGCCCTCTAAATGCCAATTCTCGCTTCGATAACATCTACTAATTAAAATATATCTATTAGCCGTAACTATCTTGTTATAATTTTCAATATATATTTTATATTGTGTACTAATGTTAAATTCTATTCTATTTTGATTTCCAAATTGCTTCAATTTTACGAAAGAATCGATGCGAGATTTAGGATTTTCGTGTCTTTTGCCAGCTTTACTCAAATTATTTAAATCGTCAAAGCCAATCTCATTCTACACACTAATTTTATTTGAAAATAGTAGGCAAGGCCAACAAAACAAATTTTGCATTTTTATGCATCCACAAAGCCATTTTATATCTTCATAAATTTTATCATGAAAATGTCGAACAAATTTTTTCTTTTTCATTATATGGTCTCGAGCCAAAACTTTTTGAAATAAATTTTCGATATCACAATTACATTCTAAATTGCTAGCTATAATATAAGGGCTAAAATTAAAAATAAAATTATAAAAACTTACTTGTTAAAATAAAATGTGTGATGATATACAATTATACATACCTGGTACAAAATATTCAATTGTATGAATATACTTTTAAAGAAAATTATAAATATAGTTTTGTGAAGAAACGTACATAAAAATAACATAAAATAGTCTTTACTTTTTAAATATTAAAACAATCCACCTAGTTAAAATTGCTCCCTACCAGTGGCTCGTGGATGGAATCAGAGACGGTCTTGGTAGGTGTGCGGTGCGGTGCATGCTTGCCAAATCCCGAGGGTGCCGATTCCGGTTTTAATGTCAAATGCCTCTTTTGTCTCATCACTGGTATACCTCAAAGGACGCGACAGGGCTATTGTAAATTTTAAACGTTTCTCACCATAGCTATAAAAATCTAAATTTGTTAAACTTAAAAGTCATTTGTTTTCTAACTAATTTGTTTTAAGACCAGGTGTCCACGGAAATTTCCAAAATTTACAACTTTTAGTCACTTTCATTGAACTGGAAAAATTTCTATCTTTATTACATATGATATTACGAAGAAATCAGTCCACACTGTACTCGGTTAAGCTTTTGTTTAAGTAAAATTCGGGCTCTTTCGGCAGGGTTTTGTTTATGTCCCCAATTCCCTAATCGCAGTAGCGTAGCGTAGTGGGGGCGGCAGGGGCGGCACTTTTTAGGGGGCGACAAAATTTCACAATAAATAATAATATCTTGTAAGAATTTCAACCATTTTATTTCATATTTTCATTCACCTACGACTCGGGCCGATTGAAATGAGCACGGAATAGTGTTACTATCCATTCGGATAGTGTGAGAATCGACTCGCCGTCCGGGGATGTCGTGCGCAACCTGTTGACCTTTTTTTTTTACTTGTACGATTTATTCGTATATATAGGCCTATACACCTCCAATATCCAATAGAGCTAGGTCACTTGCGTTACTCCTATGCAAGTCTCCCTAGTCGCTAACTGTAACTGATTTAGAACCAGCATGCACCACAAAATATTCTTCGCATTGCAAAATGACATACGCATGCGTCAGGAACTTCTGTTCGAACAAACCTCACCTGCCGTCCGGGTCGGCGATTTTAAAAAGGTGGCAACAGTAGCACGGAATTATTTTATTACTTATTCTGTGACGAAACTGAATTTTAGTCTTTTAAATTGAGACACCTAAATAAGGGGGGACGAATTTTTTTCCGCCCCGGACGGCTGACACCCACGCTACGCCACTGCCTAATCGCTTAATTATTTAACTACTTCTTAAGCAGAAATAAGTCGAAACCGGTTACTTTGTACTCGAAAATTTGTAGTCTCGGGAAAAAAGTGAAAAGACAATACACCGCTTCCACTCCGCCACTAATATTCCAATATACAATAGCGATCTTATCTTTTTTTCACGTGTAGTATAGAAATTTGTAATAAGATACACAATGCGGTTATAATAAAATATTGTGCGATTATTTTCATATAATTAAAATTAATATTTTTTTATTTTTTAGAAAATGCAAGGGAAGCAACACATCCACCGCTTCCAATGACAGCACGCTACTGGAACCCACGACCAATTCCCATTGTTCAGTGGTTTTCCTTTGTCGATCCCAATAAGCCGGAAGGAACTTTAACAAAATAAATTTAGTTTAGAATAAATTCCATTGGATCCTGATTTAAATTGCAGACAATCCTTCATAATTCATAATTATAAAAAACGTTTTGAAAAATTAAAATTAAATTATTTACATTCTTAATTTTAAAAAATGGCGTTCACTTGAACACTAAACAAAATGAATAATGGCCGAATTATTAAATATTTTAATTTAAAAATTTATTTACAGGATTACAATGAATTATTGTAAGAATATTTAAATTTAAGATAAAAAAATAATTATCCAGAAAATAATCATTTTACATTCAAATTAATCGATATTTAATTAAGATGGCAAAATTTACATAAGTTCAGTGGCACAACCCTTAAGAGTACTTCTTTAATTAATTAAGTGTGGAAGAAGTGGATTAATTTAACAATTTTAGTGGTTTAGATGGTAATTTGATTTTAAATTTACGTGCAAGTCAATATATTTCGTTAATTTTTAGATTTTTAATTACCTTTCAATCGAAGTTTCTAAGGATCTATCATTACATCAACTAAATCATGGAAGAGGAATCACCTAGTGAGTTTGAAGAGTGTTGTAAGTATATTTGTTTGTATTCTTGTAATTATAATTCTTTTTTGTGTTGGTTAAGTAAACTTTATCTTCAGCCGGAGATGATTATTCAGGGAGTTCTGATTCTGATGAGTATTTGGACTGTGAGAGGCAATGTCCAGTATGTTCAGAATGGCGCACTGACTTTCAAGGTAAAGCTTGTCCCGGTTGTACAGAGTTTTTTGAACAATGTGTGA